TTGCTCCATTTCGGACATCAAGATATTTATGCTGCCCTCTTAGGTTACCTTTCTCTGATTATTGGAACCAGGAGGATAATTCAAAGCATAAATCCCAAGCCTCAATGGATGGCTGAAAATTCTCAATTTTGACAGAAGGGAGATTTGTGGCTAGGGTTTTTAAGTTTCTTAGAAGAGGAAGAGAAAGAGGGACGTGGGTCTTTTCAACACCTTTCAGAGATAGTGGTGGAAAGGGTGAGAAGAGTTATGTGCAACCAAAACCCTTTATATCTCTACAATTCTCTTGTTATAAAGGTCCCCATTTACATGACTCTCTCCACATATGATTACCTAAATTTTGTTAGTTAACCATATAGAGCGATTCAAATCTTTTGGATAAGATTTCAACTAACAATCTTAATAAAAAAAAATTATCTCATTTCTCGACCCTTAATAATCAAAATGGTTTCATGGAGGGCTATCCACTCACAAGAGGTAGACCACCCAAGTCCAACATTTAGGAAATTGAAGAAAATAGGCATATATGAGGATTTTCCATCTAGAATTGTCAACCTCTTTATCTTGATTTGACTTGGCGATTTGGAGTTGGATATGTAACTTTCAAACACTTAATGGAGCCATGCATGTGTTAAATTGCAGTGACACAAATATATTATCGCTTTTGGCATGGTCTAGTCTTCTAGTATTTAGTTGGAATCCTTTTTTTTTTTTTTTTTTAAGGATCATTACTACCATTTCGTCTAGTCTTCCCGTATTTAGTTGGAATCCATTTTTCTAAGGATCATTACTACCATTTTGCTCATAAAAACAACACGCAAAAGATTATTCAGAAAAAGAAAGTAAACAAGACTATGGTTAACATCTCTTGTCTAGAAACTCCCTGCTTGGCCAATTTGCCTGCAATCTCATTAGCCTTCCCATAAACATGTAAGAAGAATACCTCTTAACTGCACAGAAATCCAAAATCACAAACCAAATTTGTCTAAGATGCCATGGGACCGTTTTGTTCTTTCTCTCACCACTTGATGACATTCATGGAATTTAACCCCGCTAAGTCAACCACTGCGAATTGTTTCTCTTGCTTGTATAATCCTCAAAACTATTTAAAACCACCAATATCTTTGCTTCATTAGCCGTAGCTTGATCACAAGGACCAGAAAAAGCCACAAAAATAGTTTGTCAATGATCCCTACCTACACCACTAAACCCACATTTCATACGTATTGAACACCCATGAACCAAGGATGATAGTGGAGTCCACATACAATGGTCTACTATTACGGGACACCATCTTAACTAGGTCTTAAGTATTGAAAAAAATATCATGTCTTAAAAAAACCCAACATTCTTTTGACCCCAGTACCCAACTAGCGATGGAATTCAATATCTTACTTTTCAATTTTTCTTAATCCATTACGCTACCATCAAAAGACTTCCTATTCCTCTCCATCAACAGTAGTGTTGCTCTCGTACCTTTCCAAACCGTCTCGAGTTCTTATCATCAATAATACAAGAAACATTCCTTAGATTTAAACTCATCGATTGTATCTCCTGTTTTATTTTAATTTTTCATTGTAATTACTCTTTTATCTTAATAATATTTGATACTCGTCAAAAAAAAAAAGATTTAAACGCGTGCCCAACACCATAAACCCTGTGTGAAATCACAGTGAATGAAGCAGCTTACATGCATGCAATGGCTTTGCCCCTACCATATAATAAATGATATGCAAAACCCTAAATATAATTACTCACTAATACAAGTCTTAAACTAAACTAATAAGGTAGCAAATGTCACGGCATGCGACATCATGACGCCAAGATGATGTAGAGAGAGATAGCGAGATGATGCCACCGGCCATGCCATGATGCTATGAGACCACATAATGAATCCTTCTGTGACATTAGTGATGATTAGTATGTTCTTTTTTATTTCCTTTTTTTTTTTTTCTTTTTCTTTTTTTTGTACAGGAGAATGATTAAAATGCCTCTAATCTTTAGGATTATGACAAGATGGGTCTTTGTATTGCCTTTCTTTTTTATTTTTGAGACACCCAAAAATACTTGCTCTTTCCAAATACGACATCAACTCCATCCATCCGTGTTTAATTTAGAGAAAAATGTCCCCATAATTTTGACAATAATCTCCACGGTGGGCGAGTGAGCCGGCATGAAGCATATTCCCTTCTAAACTTCAACCATGCTCCTCCCCCAATATCACCACCAGATCCTTTTTCCGGTAGGTCGGGCAATGATTGGCTCGAACCTGCCCAGCCTAAAAAATTAGAGCTTGGGCCATAAAATGTATCCCGAGTGCTTGGCCAAGGCCTGTCCAGCCGGTCTTGAGAGGACAAGGGCGGGGATGGGGACAACGCTTACCCGGCCAGGCCCGGCTTGTCAACCTTAACTTTCCCCTGAAAGTTTCTAAATTTCACTTTTGTTTTGGGTTGGGATAAGCTCAAACTCCTTGCTTTACTTATTTTGGCTAAGTTCTAAATAATTTCTTACTTTTTATCTTTCTGGGACTAAACTAAAATATGATATGGATCGTTGGTGGGGAATGTTTATTATTTATAGATAACAAGATGCCGAAAACATGATATTTGCTGGATCGTAAAGCTCTTTATATACTTTAATTTGGTCAAATATTGATTGACTGGCTTTAGCTTAAAGACACGTCCGCCGATATCTCTCCTTTTTACTTTTTCTATATTGTTTTTTTTTTTTTCAATAAGTTATGGTGTTGTTAAACTAGGGCTATAATTTTTTAATATTAGAACCATTTTGAATTGTATAATACAACATAATATAGGGATTGTGTTTTCTTAGGGAAACGTTCAATATACAAATATCTTTATTATAGATCTATCCTCCATTGCATTAACCTAAACCCTGTTACATATGTAATTGTGATTAACTTGTGCCTTCATAACATGGTGGTGATAAATTTAATTACTAACTAGCTTTCAAAAAAAAAAAAAACTAGTGGATAAAGAGGATCTTGAGTAGAGGAACATTTCATTTTCGCATTGTTGTGACTACATGTTATGCGTCCATCGATGTCAGCCTTGGCCGACCCCATGCTGGTCCCGAGAGCCCAGTAAAAGAGGAGGTTGTGCTAGATAGGCAGCCTGTAAAATTTTGCCACATCTTTTCACAAGTCCTGGAACTTTAAGACGACTCCAAATAGTTGAAATAAAACTCGGATGATAATAATATTATGCATCCATCAATGATTTTAGTACCAAAAAGAAAATGAGAAAATGGGGCATGATTAAATAAGTGAGGAGGCCCATTTGGGTTTTAAATTAAATGAATCTAGCTCCAATTTGAGCTGGAATGAACTGGACATATGGGCCACTCCACTCCAACCCTTGATCCGTAAGAGCCGAAGCACATTGATGGTCCAGATCATTTCTTGGGTGGAAGTGATGGTCCGTATGAGCGAGGTTCAATGGACCCTTTTCCTCATTATCATACAAGTGTAGTGCTGCGTTGGATATAAATAGCATCCAGTGGATAAACGAGGTAAAAGTAAAATGAGTGTTTTGCCAGAGATAGAGGGACATATTTGAATAAAGTCAAAAGATTCTATGCTCCCATAAATCATGTCCTCCATTTTAGTGTTTAAAAAACTGGATCTCTAGAGGGTCATATGGAATATTGGTTTGGATAACTAATCCTTGATCAGAATAAGTGAATCGGACCAATTCTCTTGTGTGAGAATTGACCCATAAACATCAGAGATTAAATAATAATAATAATAATAAATATACTGTGTAGAAATCGAATAGTTCGACCAGATTGAACAATAATAATAATAATAAATATACTGTGTGGAAATCGAATAGTCCGACCAGCCCGTATTGTGTGTTCCTTGACAGACTTGCCCGGTTCCTCACAAAATGGGGCAAGTCCATAGAAACCAGGTTGGTCAAATTAAGTGATTCCCTATCGAGGCTTGGTTTCTAAATAACTACTCCATCCATTCACTCTCCGATAAAAGAAATAGCCCCAATTTTTTTTTTTTTTTTTTGGCCCATTATTGTTTTTCTTATTTTAAAATAGATCAAAATATTTAAGAACTCATCATCATCATTTTAACATTTTTTCAATTAATTTAGGTGGGCTAGAATCTTGATTATCCATTATGCTCTATTAAATATGATATCCTCAATAAAATTGTAAGTCCTTTTATGTTCTCCAATCACATTCTTTTGGCCACAAAAAGTTTAAGACCTGAAAATCCAAAATTCCATTTTATAAAATAATCGAAATTCCAAAACCTGTTCAGCCCTTTGGCCCAAGGGCATAATTGTACAGTATGATCACGCCGGAGCATGAAATACCAATAATATGGTGGGGGAGAGATTGGGAGTTTGGAAGGTTCGCGTGTCGCAGCTTTATTCGACTGCAACTGCGGCATCATAAAACAAAGAAGAATCGAATCACGGAAAAGCTCCGGCGCAACCCTTTCTGGAAATGCCGCTCCTACCCCACAAAAAAAAAAATAATTTCTCTCTCTCTCTCTCTCTCTACATCTCACCTCCACCTCCTCTCTCTCTACTACTCTCTACCTCACTCTCTCTCTCTCTCTCTCTCTCTCTGCACTCATGAATTTTCAGCCGAGGAATCCTAATGATTACAAATGAAACCCATCAGCATTTTCGAACGGAAAATGAGGATCACATCGACGGAGAAGCCATTCTCTCTCTCTCTAACTCTCAGGAACCAAACGAAACAGTCACTGTCAATGATTGCGACTGTGGCTCACTTGCTACTGATATTGTAGCAGTGCGGCCGCCGATACCTTCCTCAATTATAAAGCGTACGATAGATAGGCAGTGGGTTTCTCACTTGCCTGCCCTTTTTGCGGACGCTTTTCAGTTGGGAATTTAAGAGAATAAACTTGAAATCAAACTAAAATTAAAGGAGAACGGCGTCTAGAGAGAGAAAACCCACGAAAATTACTCCAAATGGATTAGAGAGAGAAACAACAGGAAGCTTTTCAATTTTCTTTTTTTTGGCAGTGTATGTCTGATTACAGGGGAAAATGTGGGCAGGCTTTGAAGCTTTTAACCTCTTTCCTTCCTTTTTACTCGACTTTTTTTCAAAATAAAGTAATAAATTACAGAGATGTTTCCTGATACCTAAAAACCCAACAACTATCTGATCCAAATCCAAATCCGGTGTCCTGCTGGTTAGAGAGAAAAAGAGGAAGAGTGATTTCTCTCTCCTCTGCAAAAATATGGCAGAGAGGCCTCTGATTCAAGGAAGCCACAGTTGATGCTGCGAAAGGGGGGAGAGAGGGGGGGGGTGAAGAGATAGAGATAGAGAAAGTGTTATCTTTCTCTCTCTACTCTTACCTATTCCTGCTGCAAATCTCTAACAACTTCTTCCTGCCTTCAACAATCTCATCAAACAAATCATCGAGTTGACACACAATGCCTTCAACTCCTGTCCTCGACATCCCAAACCAGACCTTCAACATCTCCACCCTCTCAACAAACCCACCACCCCCCAAATTCCCATTTTGCCCACCCCTCACCTCCAACTGTGCCCACATCTCCTCTGTCAACCCCTTCACCCTCCTGTACTCATGCAGCAGTATCCCGTGTCGCCCCTCGATCTCGGCCCCCACTCGCTGCTGAAGCCTTTGCAACGCCCCTGCAAACGCCGTGCTGCCGTCCCCGCCGGTTACCTCCGCATGCGGGCTGCTGCTGCCGCTGCTGTGCAGCAGCGCCCACACAAGCAGCGTCAGCAGCAGTGAGCTCACCATTCGCATTGCGCAGAGAACTCCGCGGAACCCCCCGGCGTAGCCGCTGTTTGCCCAGCACCGCCCCTGGTTCTCTTCCAGAGACATAAGAGCCTTGGCCTCCGAGAGGAGCCTGTTCTCCTCCTCAAGCCCGAGGGCTTCACGACGGCAGCCCGTGACAGCACGCATGAGCTGGCGCGAGCTGCCGCCATCTGTAAAGGTCATGGTCAGCTGGAGAGAAGAGTGGTGGAGGAAGTGATCCAGGGCAGAGGCCCCCGATTTTAGGAGGTGGCATACATCCCAGAGCTTCGAGGTTTCATCCATGTACTCATCGAGCCACTTGTCCCCGACTGGGAGATGGAGGGTCTGGGCGAGGCGGGTGAGGTGCGAGTGCAGGGACCGCAGGAGAGACACCACTTGCTGCACCCACTGGGCAGACATGAAGCCCCCGCAGCACAAGAGGCTGCCTTCGAGGTCGTCGAGGCCGTGGGCGACCGCCGCGTAGAACCCGCTCACCGAGTCCATGGGATGGGATACAGTCTAAGAATTCCGACGAGAGAGGGAGAGGGAGAGGGAGAGGGAGAGAAGGATTATGTGTTTTTAATGCTCGTTTGTGAAGACAGAGCAGTTCTCTCTGGTTCTGAAATGGGTTATCTGTTTTTCTCTGTCTCTGGTTCTGAAATGGGTTCTATGATTTCCTCTATTTCTCATTCAAATCAAACGAAGATTTGAGGGGTTTCTCACGAAGGATAACAGGAACTCGAAATGGAGAAAAGAAGAGGGAGTATTTGTGTTGTATGAGAGCTGGTTTTATAAAGGATTGAATGGGTTTGAGTCTCTGGTTTGGGACTGGGCGCTCGGCTTTCCATGAGGGGGAAGAAGGATGGTTGGGGCAATGATGGGTGTCGACCACAGGGGGAAGAGAGATGATTGAGAATCTCCCCCTTATTTGTTTTGCATTTCTTTTAAATAAAATTCAACTCTTTTCAAGTTTTAGAGAGAGAAATAGGGAAAGCAGAGCTAATTATGATGAGAGGGGCCTCGAGTCCACCAAAAAGAATGGGAGAAGAAGGAGAAGAGGGAAAGAGGAAGGTTCGGCCGCCATTGTTTCAGAGGTGGGGGACCGGGGTCCAGAGTTTCGAGCCACTTTCTCTCTCTAAAATCCCACTTTCTCCCTCTAAAACCTCTCTCTAAAAAGGGGATGGCGACTTGTTTTCCTTAAATAAGAAAAAAAAGAGAAGCCATTTCTTTTTTCTCTCCCTCACTTTTGTGTGCTCTTTTTCTTTTTATCTCGTTTACATCTAATAAGGCCTTTAGGTCCACGTCCTTTCTTTTCATCTCAAATTTACCATTTTCTCCTCATTCTTTGCCTTAAAAACTCACGTTTACTCACATCTGGTGGGCGACATGAGGGCTACTTTTGACATTTTCTGTTTCTTTTTGTTTTAATCGTACGGGGTTTTTGGGTGGTGGGGTACTACTAGAAGCTGGGGTGGAGCTTGTCAAAGGGGTAATACCCATTTTATAGACTTTTTTTTTCTTTCTCTTTTTTTTTTTTTTTAATATCAATACCTTAAAATAACGTTTAAAATAGACTTTTTATTTTTTTATTTCTCTTTTTTTTTAAGGAAAAAGTTTGTATAAGGATGTTACCTTATAATACAGAACTACCGATGTCCCTCAAAAATCCATCAAAAAAGGTAGTTTTAATGTTGAAAAACCGTTTGATTGATCATCTCGACATCGAGATGTATAAAAAGATTTTAAATCTAAAAAATTGTGCATTTTCCAACATATTATCTATAGATTTTCATATGTTTATAGATCTACTTGATTTTAACTACTTTTTATATTTAAAATTTTATAATTAGATATAAAAAAAGATTTTGAGTTAATCCTAAGAGCATTTTGCATCAAAATAATATACTATGATAAAATTTGAAGGTGCATCTTACCTCCACACTTACGGATGCGTCCGTATGCATACTGCACCTTTTTTTTTTAAATAGTAACACCTTAAAATAAGATTTGAATTTTTTAAATTTTTTATTTCGATTTTCTTGCTTTTGGGTTGTGTGATGTTGGGGAGGGGGAGGGGGAGGGGGAGGGGAAGTAGGATGATGACTTAACTGGGAAATCCGCAGTTTATTTTTTATTTTTTCGGGGACGCAGAAATAGCTTTACTCTTTTAATGAATAATAATTTCTTAATCGATTATTTATCCTAATAAATTTGTGAAATTATTAGGGTGGGATTAATTATAATTATGTTGGATTAAAAAATAATAAACACCGCTTTTTTAGGACTTCTCGGTTGCGGATCTCTTTTGGGTAGTGTGAAAAGGAGGATAATTATGGGAAATACGAAAAATAATTTCAGAAACCAAACATTCCTTTTTGAACAACACCCGAAAATCGAGAAATATACACCCACTCGTGTGGACTCACCTTTTTATTTGTTATTTTATTTCTTATTTTTCTCCAATCCATCCCTCCATTACTAACCCATGGTTAAGGCAGGTTCCCTATTTTTTCATTTTTTATTTAGAAAAAGTTTATATAAGGTTGCAACTTTAAAATGTAGAACTACGGATGCATCTCAAACATCCATCGGTAAAGGTTATTTTAATTTTAAAAAGCCCTCTAATTGTTCATCTCGACATCGAGATGTATGGCTATAAAAAAAAAGATTTTGAGTCCCAAAAATAATGCATCTTATAACACATTATCTAGACCGTCCATTTTTAAGATTTCGATATGTTTATAAATCTACTTGATTTTAATCATTTTTGGAGTTTAACATTTTATAAGTAGATTTGAAAACAGATTTTGAGATAATATTAAAGAATATTTTTCATCAAAATTATATGTTATGATAAAATTTGAAGGTGCGCCTTAAATGGATTGTTTAAGGTTGCAACCTTATGGAAACCGCACCCTATTTATTTTCCTTCCTACATTTCTCCTTAAATCTTAGTTTTGAAAAGTTATTATTTGCAGTTTCTATTTTTCTTCTCTTTGAATTGTTGGGTTCTTTCCTTTTACAAATTCTTTGTATTTTTGCCTTTTATTTTTTGGAAAACTTCTTCGTGAGTCAGCTGGTGCAATAGCCCGCTGCTGCTGACTCATTGCAACCACTAACTCATCAATGTCCATCTTTAAGATTGGTGTTGTAAAAAATTGCAAGGTTTAGACGGTGTAGAATTTTTTCAAAAACTCACGTTTTAAAGATCAATTTTTTTTTTTTCATGTTCGTGATCATCTTAACCTAGATTATGAATCCCTCAAATTTTAGATTAAAAATCTATTTCTAATATGGTTTAAGAGGGGCCGCATATGTATATTATGATTCGGCTTACTTATAGAAATCCCATCCTTATTTTTTTTAGTTATATATCTTTTTTTATGCACAATTCATTGGATTAACTTTTGAGGTCTGTTTTTTTTTCTTTTACACTTTTATTTCTCTCCCTGTAAATTGGGAAGTATTTGGATTTGCTTAGTGTAATGGAAAAAGATCCGGAGGCTTTTCACATGATTGTTATGAAGAAATTGTGAAGGTGGGTATCCCTCTCTTTATCTCTTTCATATGAAAGAGAAAAATGAGAAATATTCTTGTTGACCTTACCTCCATAGTAGCAACCTCCCTTTTTTAGTGTAGGTACTGTCTTTATCTTCTCTAAGGTCAATGCTACTTATTCATTTCATTTCATGTTTCCATATTTGAAACCAGTGATATTCCTTTTCCCTTTTGCTTGGAAAATTAAGTGTGAGTGGTTCCATTTTTCGTTTGTGAGGTTTTTTTTTTTGTTTGTTTGTTTGAAAATGAATGGCTTTAGGGCAATATAGTTAGGTTTACTTGCTATCTTGGTGAAGGTGGGGCGGTGGGCTCTTTCATCCTTTATTTCCTTATTTTTATTTTCATTTATATAAATGGTGTGTTTTGTATAAGGTCGAGGCCCTAGATAATCAAATTAAGGTGCACCTTCAAATAGTACCAAAATATATAATGTTTCAATATAAGAAATCTTTCTGATAGTTTGAAATTTTATTTTCATTTTTTATTATAAAATTTAAAGATTTAAAAATAATATAGATCGAGCAGTTCTATGGACACTTGAAAATCTTGAAAATTGATGTGTTAGGAAATACATTACATGATGCATTGTTTGAAATTTATCTTTTCTCATTTTGTACATCTTGAGGTCTTGATGATCAAATCGAAGGTTGTTCAGCATCAAAACAACCCTTCTAGTGAATTTTTGAGGCACGCCTTAATTTGATTGTTTAATGCCTCGCTCTTATATAAACTTTTTCCTTTTATAACTACCTGCACAATTACTTTTGTATTTCATTTGAGGGAAATTTTTTTATCAGCTCACCCTTTTTGATTGAGGGAAAATTTTATTGGCCACCATAGAAGTGGGCGCTTCACAGGTTGAGATAAGAAGATTCTTTGGTCCATTATTTTTCCTTTTTTTCTCAGTTAAATAACTCCTACTATTTTCCTACTTAATGTGGTTGGTTACTTTTCCTTTTACGAAAATATTTAGTGTGAGTAGACTTGAATTTTAAAGAATGTGGAGACTTCTAGAGTCCTTTCTATATGACCCTACTCTTGCTGAAAGGACTTGCAAATTGATTCTACCCCAAAATCATAGCTAAAATGGGGCATGGTGGTAAGAATAGTTGATTATGTGTTCTAAAATAGGGAAGCATTTCTATGACCCAGCATGAATTCATGGCCAGCATTTCTAAATCTGCCATCTCTGCTTATTTCTGATGCTTTAATTCCTGCTATGTAATTTGATGCTCTTTCAACTTTTCTTTAATAAAAAGTTGAAACATTGTCAAACAAAAAAAAAAAAGGGTCGGTCAAACCCAACCTTGACTCTATCCAATTGGGCCTTAGTTGGACCTAGCCCAAAGTAACAATCCTAAACTTCAAAAAAAAAAAAAAAAAAAAAAAAAAAAAAGAAAAAAGAAAAGAAAGAAGAAAATAAATTTTTAATACATGATGATTCGTTTGAACATGATGGTCCTTAAGGACCATCTTTACTTTTTAAAGCTTTTCGTTTAAAAGCTTTGTTGCTTCCTTGCTCTTGCCAAGTCCACTAAAGGACGTGGGCTTTAAGCATTTAAAGCGTAAGCTAACGTTTACACCTGTAACGTAATAAAAGAATAAAATAATATATCAGTAGAATTTAAATTCAGAGAGGTGAGGACTCCTACCTTAGAAAACTTATGAGATTTTTCTCTCTGGTCGAAACACAGTGAACTCATCTCTCTAGCCGAATTTTTATCGGAAGCTCCCTCTCAAGTATTTGTGGGTAAGTGACATCGTCTTTCTGAAAAATAGTCTGTTTTTAATAAATAGTGATATTTTCGTTCAGGATATTTATTTTATAAGTTTTGTGTGTAAGTGACATCGTCTTCCTGAAAAATAATCTGTTTTTAATAAATAGTGATATTTTCGTTCAGGATATTTATTTTATAAGTTTTGTATGTAAGTGACATCGTCTTCCTGAAAAATAGTATGTTTTTAATAAATAGTGATATTTTCGTTCAGGATATTTATTTTATAAGTTTTGTGTGTAAGTGACATCGGCTTCTTGAAAAATAGTCTGTTTTTAATAAATAGTGATATTTTCGTTCAGGATATTTATTTTATTAAGTTTTGTGTGTAAGTGACATCGTCTTCCTGAAAAATAGTCTGTTTTTAATAAATAGTGATATTTCCGTCCAGAATCTTTATTTTATAAGTTTTGTGTGTAAGTGACATTATTATCTTGAAAAATAATCCATTCTTTTTAACATTATTGTAAATTCTTGGGGTGTGACACCCAACCTGCAGATTCTAAGTCCTAGTTGGACCCAACCCAAATTGTTGGCTCTAGTTAACTTTTGGTATAAATAGAAACTATGATTTTTTTTATTAATTAAATATATTATGGCATGGTATAGGGGAATGTTTCAAAATATGGCTTCCTAGCACCTAGGCAGTCACCTAGTGGCCTGCACCTTGAGCCTAGGCACCCCTTCTGGGCATTGGGTCCGTGGCCACCCACCTAGGGACCCTGGGCACTAGGTATTGATAAAATAAAATGATCAAAATGTCTTTGATAGTTTCAAGGGCAGTTTGCTCATTTTATTTTTCAAAAATGCTTTTTTATATTACTTGTAGATGCGTCTTAATGAGATGAT